CTGCCTATGTTCCCCTAAAATTCCTGTTTCATGGGGTTCACACCAGTAGTACAGGCCTCAGGGAGTGCCCCAGGCATTTCCAGTTCGCAGCACAGAGCAGTGTGACTATAAAGGGGGTCTTTGTGGTGATGGACCACTTCTGCCTCTTGATTGTAGTAGTGGTTACATGAATTTTCAATGTGTAGGTGTCTATACTGTACCAATATTAATTTCCTGGTTCTGATATTGTACTGCAGTTGGGTAAGAGGTAAAATATCTGTAATTTCCTATTAAAATGTCTTAAAAACATAGTTATATTGTTTGTAAACTATACTGCAATAAAGTTAATTTTTAAAAGTGATTTTGATACAGGATTTTGGGACTGGAACATGCGGTATTCCTCTGGGCAGAATGACTTGTCCAGGCTCTTTGTCTATTGGAGTCGAAGAATGAAACCACAGATGGAAGATGGTATAGTAAAGGTGGAAATTTATTGAAGAACAAGTACAGGCTCCCACATGGGGAGGGGGAAAGAGTCCCACCATGGTTTATAAAGGCTGCAGTTTTTTATACCTTGATATCCCCTCTGATTAGTCGCTATTCCTCTTTGATTTGGTTACTATAGTAACTGCTGAGCTCAAAGGTCAAAACCTCACATGGGACATGTGAGGCCCTCCTCCCTCATTGTTCTCCTATTCCCTCTGGGCTTTCTTCTTCCTTCCCTTTATTCTGTAGATGTGTGCCTTTTGCTACTCCCAGTTCCCTTATCTTATGAAATTGTAACTGTTACCTCTCCCAACTTCCTGTCTTATGGAAATATAATCTTTTGCAGCTCTGCAGCCTTTGCTTTTTCCATGGACCCATTTAATTTTAAAAATTCCCTAAACCTGCCTATTTCACCCCTAAAAATTCCTATTTCAATTTGTTAAATGTTTGGCAAAATGCAGTGTAACAGCCTGAGTTCATTCTTTGGAGCCAGAAAGAATTGCATAAAACCCTTTTATTTTCTTGTTTAATGTCACAGAAAAGTCATAACCTCTCTGATTATCCATTTTATCATTTGAAGAATAGATATAATACTATCCATATTACAAGGTTGTTGTGAGGGGGGAAAAATCTATATAGAGTACCTAGTTTGAGTAAGCATTCCACAGATTTTACCTTTCTTTTTTCTACCCATTATGAGATTTCTCATATAAATGAATTCATAAATTATTATTATTATTATTATTATTATTATTTTGTGAGGGATCACGATTTTATTCAATCATCCGCATACCAGGTGGCTGAGCCTGGATGGCTCCAGCCGAATTTATAAATTATTTAAAATATTTTTGTCCGACTTCTGTATACTAGTGGGTAGAAATATAGTTATAGAATGGGGATTCTTCCAACCCCTTACATTTAATGATTCTATGCCTAATAAATCACCCAGCACAGGAATTAATTGTGGTTTACCAGGGAGCAATGCAACAGCTACCACTAGGTGGCAGGCCATCCTCTCTATTTAAGGATCAATTTTGTCACAGAGGTAATGAATGGTAACCAGCTTTATTTAGATTATGAAGTCTTTCTCTGTTTCCTGCTGTGAGGAATTTCTGGAACAGCCCAGTTTCTCCAGATTGTCTGCCTCTGAGGTTTTGGATATGATCCAATAATGTACTCAGTTAAACTTGGTTCAACAGTTTATCAAATATTTATCAAGTTCATATGACAGATACTGTGCAAAGGGCTGGGAACCGAGCCATGTTAAGTGTTCAGGATGGGTGGCATATTTGCTTCTAAGTTGTGTGTGTGTGTGTGTGTGTGTGTGTGTACTTCAAGGTGTTTTCCTATAAAATCCTCCTATATGGATTTATATAAGATATTGCAAAAAGTATTTGTTCTTCTTTGGTACCTACACATATGACCTGGTCAAAGCTAAAACAAACAAAACCCAGTGGGCAAAAGTGATTCCGTTGGATTTCAGGCCAACTGCTGCACCTTCTCAAGACATCTGGAGTCATAGGTAACCGTAACCAACTTGTCTCAGTTTTCCTGGTCTTTCTTAGTTTTAGATATAAAGATCTTACATCTGGTGAGGCCCCCTCAGTCCCAGGCACACGGGGATGGTTGGTCCCCCAACCTAGGGATGGATTTTCTCTTCCTCTCAGTCTGAGGGGATTTCAGATCGGGAAACGATAGTGTATTTCAGAATGACCTCTTATGGATTGTCACTAAGCCTGTCTTGTCATGGGGCCTACGAGCCAGGGCCCAGTCCCGTGTCAAGCTGTCAAGCAGGCCTAGCCACCTTTTGAATCCTGGGACAGTGCCCACAAATATCTGAGACAGAAAAGCCTGTGAAAGTGCAGGAAGGTCAGAGGAAGGCCACTGAGGAAGTGGCATCTGAGCTGAGCCCTTAGTGAAGAGGAAGCTGCGGACAGAGGGACTAGCAAGTCCCAAGGCCCCAGGACAAGGAGGAACCCAGTACAGGGGAACCAAACTAGGCTCAGTGTGGCTGAGCAGAACACGGGGAAGAAGGGTGGGGGTGAGTCTGGGAGGGTCGGCAGGGGCCAGTTCGGGTGTGGTCCTGTGGGTCTCTGCAAGGAGTTTGGAATTTGTTCTCAGCAAAGAGAAGCCTTAAGAGGGGGAAGGACACCGTCCAGTTTGTGTTGTAAACCGATCGCCCTGGGGGCTGTGGGGAGAATGGGCTGAGAGGGAGCAAGTGTGGAATAAAGAAACCATTAGGAAGTGCCCGCTGTGTGAATCAAGCTGACAGTGCCAGACTGGTAAGACAGCCGGCCACCACTTGAAGGTGCAAGGCAAGGTGCCAGCAGCTCCTCAGCCAGAACTTCACCGCTTCCACGTCCCACTTTGTAGCTAAGAAGCAGTGCGGCCACTCAGCCTGAGGTCTCTCAGAGTCTGTGGAGTGGACCCAGGATGACCCCCAAAGATAGGCACCTGGCACTTAGGACACCACTGTCCACAGGGCTTCCCCTCCAAGCAGACAGAGTGAGGAAAGATGAGTGAGGAGATGTGGCAGAAAAATGGGAGATTCGGGAAAACGGTGGACACTATGTAGTGCTCTGAGTCTGAAAGGCAACTCAATGCTGACCCACCAGCTCTCCCCTCTGCCCAGCCTGATGGTGGAGCAGAGCAGAAAACTACTGTCAAGTTTCTTGCTGAATCTGTGGACGAAAGGGGCCACATGCTGACCTTACAAGCTCAGGGGAGGCCTACATGGCAGTCTTGCAAACTCAGAGACCTAAAGTAACCACAAAGGATGGTCTGAAATTAAACTTTAACTAAAAGCAGTTATGGTGGGCAATTACGTCCTAGGCCGGTATCTTCACTGATGAGGTCAACCTTTGCCTTAACTGAGCCTCGCTGTCTTTTTGTATCTATGGTAACATATCCTTGAAGTGTCTGGGTAACTTGTAACTTCTCTTTTTCTGGACCCGCTGGGGCACAACCAAATGTGCTGGGTACCAGGACAGATACCACAAATTCCTTCATTATCATGTTAATTGTTCCTGCACCCACCTAAGTATGTGTCCATCATTTTACTTTTTATCCAATCCCAGAGGATTCCTCTCCGCCCCCCCGCCTTTGCTTTATCCCACCTCCTTAATCTATCACCAATGAATTTCATGTAACCCACTTACGTTCATCCCTCCGTTGATTGCAATGTATAAATACAGATGTAACCTGCCATTCTGCTTCCCGGCATATGCTGACAGTTTGGCTCAAATAAACTCACAAAAATTCTTTACAGGTTTCAGTGGTTTTTTATGTTAACAAATCTCAGGATACAACTGCCGTGTGGGGAGGCTGGCCCTGCATTCACATGCCCCTTGGGGGCCAGGCCCCTGGGTGGTCAGGCTCAGAGAGGAGTGGAGTAACGCCAGTGGCTGCTCCAGCTGTGGAGCATTGGTGAGATTTGGTGGCAAAGGCAAGAACTCTGAGAGGGAGAGAGCAAACTTTTTTAGGTCGCCCAAATGGTCATGCTGCCTGCTCTTCTGGGAACCCCATTTCACCTTTGGACCGGGCATGAGCATACAGTGATTCAGGAATAAAACTTGGGAGAAACACCAGAGACGATGAAAGGTTAGTTAGTGCTAATGATAATACTCAACCACACAATGTTGTTCTTCAGCAAAGCCCCCACTCGCACTCCAATGCCCAAGCAGTGTGTGGATCACACAGCTCTGTACTCTGCTATCAAGAGCATTTGGTTAAGCATGGTTAAGAGCAGCCACCAAATAGGTAAATGCTTAATATAAGTTAGGAGATTGCACAGAGGTAGCTCACCTGTCACCTGGAAGAGTACTGCTGGGAACAGAGGGACAATAGGGCTGACGAGTAGGACATCAGGCCCCAGTGTGGAACCGGCAAGCTGTGTCCACACACAGCTGTGAATCAATAACGGGTGTGCTGCAGACACTGTGCCAAATTTCAAGGTGAACAAGGCTCAGGATCTATGGCCAGTTGCCTCTGTGGCCAGCGTGTTTGATCTGGCGGGACCAGGGCGGGAGCAGCAGGCATCCCGTGATAATAACTCATAGCTGTGCTATTGACAGTGCCTGAGAATGGGGACATCTGCGAATGACAGCACTTGGGAAGTTGGTTGAACTGCCATCCAATTATCTTTATGAGAACCTAAATCTAGCCTGACTAATCACAAGGCATTGTGGGCCAGTGTTCTCTCCTCCAACCTCAGTGGGTACAGTCATTTCATGTGTAATACTTCAGCCCTGAGGAAAAAGATAAAGATATCTATAAATATAAATCTTCACTTGCCTACTCTTTGGTCAGCCTGAGATTAAGTTTATGTAAGAAATGAAGGATATGTGACTGAATCTTTCTCTTTATTGATAGGCCACTGTCACTTTCAATATTGGCCTAGTTGAAACACTCCATCCTGATACTTTACCATGGTATTTGGTCACCATTATATTTGTATGTCTCCCAGACTTAACTGTGAGGTTCCTTTTTTGGTCTTTCACTTGTGGACATTTTAATGAATTTCCCTCCATGTAGCTTCAAGCTACCAGGACACAGGCCCCACCAACACCCTCCATCTTCTCCTCAGCTCTTCTGCTGAAGAACTTGGCCTTCACAATGACAGGCTGCTTTGGGAGCTCTTCCTTCCCCAGAATTTTGTAGTAGCTTAATCGCACCACATCGATGAAAGGAGCAGCTACAGTCTTGTTTTCTGCAGCACTTATCCATGACTGCTTACTGACCAAGATCCACAGTTTGTCAACGTTGACAGTTGTACAAAAGCTCTGGTTCCTCTTTAAGTGGTAATGCCTCACAGCAACTTTCCCAAAGTAACCTGGGTGATATTTATCTAGTTGATCATGTGATGATCCAAGCCACCAGCATGACCTCAGCCACCCCGGGTGCTTCCTGTGTTTGCCTATGCAGCCGTGGCTGTGGATTACGTGGCCCCAAAGTTTCCGGGTCTGCTTCAGCCTGGATGGCATGTCAGTGGCCAAGATGCAAGAGCTGTGAGCTTCTTGAGGGCAAGGGTAGTATCTATCATCCCCAGAGCCATATAATTGATATGATAGTCAAGATTGTTTGTTGAATGAGTGAATTACTGTATTCTGGTCCAGGATTTTCTTTCTCTCCATTTTTTTTAATCACAGCTATTTTATTTATTTATCAATTATTATTGTTTTTTAATCCTCATCTGAAGATATGTTTATTGACTTTAGAGAGAGAGGAAGGGAGGAAGGGAAGACCAGAGAGAGAAACATTAATTGGTTACCTACTAATGGGAGATCGAACCTAAAACCTAGGTATGTGCCCTGACTGGAATCGAACTTGCAACGTTATTGGTGTACAGGCATCAAGCCTGGCTGGAGTGACTCAGTGGTTGAGTGTTGACCCAAGAACCACGGTTCAATTCCAGGTCAGGGCTCACGCCCGAGTTGTGGGTTCAGTCCCTAGTAGAGGATGTGCAGGAGGCAGGAAATAGATGTTTCTCTCTAATCAATGATGTTTCTATCTCTCTTTCCCTCTTTCTTCCTCTCTGAAATCAATAAAAACATATTTAAAATAAAATAAAAAGTCTAACTTATGCCAAGTTGGAGGGACTTATGAGACTAAATGTGTGAACACTGTCATGCACACAGTGCTATCCTGGGATGCCATATTGATGACAAGAGCCTGAAAAATGCTAACCTTGGTCTATGCTGAAATCAATGCTCTGCAGAGAGGCAGGGTCCCTGGAAGGCAAGAGGGGGAAGACCTGTATCCTAAGACATAGTTTTAGAGGAGCCCCCCTCCATCATCTGATGGTTGTTAACAAAAGGTACCTGACCAGTGAAAACACTGAGGAGTTCTGTGCCTTGGGCCCTATGTTATTTTCATTGCATCTATCCCATAAGCGCTAAATATGTGTCCCCACCTACCTGAGGGAGCAGAATTCCAAAAGATCAAAGTTCTGCCAAGGAGCTACCAATTTTCTAAAAACATATAAAATGAACACTGTATGTTCCCGAGTATGAAATCATAGTGCCTAGCAGGTCAGTCATAGCCTAGGCATTTAAAATATTTGTTAAAGAATTGGCCCTAGCCAGTGTGACTCAGTTGGTTGAAGCATTACCCGGTATACCGAAAGGTTCCGGGTTTGATCCCCTTTCATAGTAAGTACAGGAGGCAATAGATCAATATTTGTCTCTCATCTCTCTCTCTCTTTCTCTTCTCTCTTTCTCCATTCCCCTTTCTCTGAAATCAATAAGCATGTTCTTGGGTGAGAATTAAAAAATAACCTATATATATAAAAGGCTAATATGCTAAGTCTCTGACCATCTGACCAGTTGGTATGATGTGCACTGACCACCAGGGGGCAGATGCTCAATGCAGGAGCTGCTGTGTCGCACACAGAGAAATGGCACCACAGACCTGGCGCCCACAAAGCAACACTCAGCTTCCCCTAAGTGGGACACAGGCCCCGCCACCACCCTAGAGTGACACCCCACCAAATCGCAGCCAATGCTGCCAAGACCCCAAGACACAAAACACTGCCCACAGCCCAGCCCAGCCCAGAAATGGTTGCTGTGCGAGCTGGGTAATGACGTCATGTAGCAATGCCCGGCTTCCTCTCCCTAGCAAATAGCCTCCTTGGAGTTTCTTCAGCCCAGGAACACGACTTGCTTTATAGCCAGGTGCAAACATTTCACACTTTGACCAAATGTCTGTGAAGCATTTTCACTTGCCTCATCTCATTTGATCCCCACAGAAGTCCTGGAGTAGGTAAATAGGAGTGGAATCCTATTTTCTTTTCATTAGCCAGAAAAACAGATTTAGAAAGTTTAGAAACTTGACCTGACTGAAAAGAAGTAAGAAATGGTGGACCTTGAAAATGACTTCATGTTTTCTTACTGCGCAGAAGATAGTGAAACACTGCTGCAGTTAAATATTTTACCCTTTATTCTCCCTGCATGATCTACAATAATAATCTGTTTCATGTTGATATTTACTGCTGTGTTGCTGACAATTACCTGAAAGAGAAGTTGGGGTGCTTCACTGGGCTGGAAAAAGTTTAGCTAAATCAGAAAGCAGGTCTAATTAAGCAAGTTTATTCTATAAATATAAAAGGCTAAGTTGACTGGCACATGCTCAATACATATAAAGCTCTCACTGGCGCCAATCGCACATGTGTGTTTTGATTTGTCATTGTCGATCATGAATTTGTTTGATACTTCTATTATAGAGAAAGGGCGAATAGCGATATTAAAATATTTCTTCTAATTGATATATTTTCAATGTGCGAGAATTCATGCATTGGGTCACTAGTAATAAAATAAAATGTTTGTTGAAGAATTGCATAAATGTATGATACAAGTGGAAAACACTGAATCAGTTCACATGTATCCAACCCAATTGTATGCTAGATCACAAGGGCAATAGCAACTTTTTTGTTGTTAATTTTATTTATTTATTTATTTATTTATTTATTTATTTATTTATCTATTTACATTGTAGTAGTTCATATACTATCATGGTTTCTAATTCAAAAGACATAAAAGATGACATTTAAAAGTCTGTCTCCTGGTTGCACATATCTGTCAATATATTAAAAACAGTCAAAGTGTACACTTTAAATAGGTGGATTGTATGGTATGTAAATTATTTCTCTTTGAAGCTGCTAAAAAAGGAAAAAGCGTTCCTTCTATCTTCCCATATAGATATAGAAATATGTATTTTTCCCTCACTGTTTTAATACAGAATCCTAGGGCAGAGTTCTAAAAGCATTATGGGCCATAGCCTAGAGAGGGTCTTGGTCCACCGCCAAGCCCATGTGCTCACAGGACAGAGGAGCAGGCAGTGAGTAAGGTTGGGGCTATGTTGGAGTCAGGAAGAGAAATGCCACAAATCAGAGACTGCAAGGAAACCTAAGGCTTATTTTTGACACACAGATCTCTGGTCTATTGTACCACAAAAGATGACAAGCATAGCCCAGTTTTCCCAGGACTTGCTCCGCTTTAAAACAGAAAGTCCCAAGTCACAGAAGTCTTTCAATTCCGGATTTGTTAAGTCATCTTGGTGGGTTGACCCATTATTTTTCCTTTTTTTCTTAGGAGATGGTGAGTTTTATTTTATCTTGTCTAGATAGAGGTTTCATTTGCTCTCAAATGTTCCAGGGTAGAGAGAAACTAAGGGAAAGCAGAGGGTGTAGAGGTCAATTCAGTGTAACCTTCTCCCTCAGTTCTATCTTCACCATAATGGAGAGAGCCACATACTTGCCTGCAGAACTGAAACTTGAGGCTGGATTTTCTTTAGGTTTCTTTGGCTCAGGTACAGATCAAGAGTCTTGATTCTTTATGTCATCTTTTCTATCTGACTCCTTCCAATGGTCTGCTTCCTCCATCTTCAGGACTATGACTGGCATTTTTCCTTTGGCCTTAAGAGACATTCACCTCACCCACTTTATTTTCATTTTTCCTTGCTGGTCCTTCCTAGATGGTTGAGCTAGAAATACTTCCCCTGCCTCTAACCCGCCCCCCGCCCCCCCCCCCCCACACACACACACATCTTGTAGGGGATTGCTGCTCTGTCTGAGCTCCAAGATGAAGCAGGGTGGTGAGAACTCTACTTCACCCAAGCATTCTCCTTTAAAAAAATTTTTTTTATTGTTTTCTTCTTTTTAATTTTTTAAAAGGGGGAGGGAGAGAGATAGAAACATCAATGATGAGAGAGAATCATTGATCCACTGCCTACTGCATGCCCCCTACTGGGGATGAGCCTGCAACCCAGGCATGTGCCCTGACCAGGAATAGAACCATGACCTCCTGGTTAATAGATGGGTGCTCAACCACTGAGCATACCAGCCAGGCTTTATTTTTATTGTTGAGAGTATTAGAGATGTCCCCCATTTTCTCCCCTTTGCCCCCTCTACCCACTCCCACCCCACACCAGGCCTTCACCTCACTATTATCTGTGTTCATAAATTATATATATATGCATATAAATTCTTTGATTATTCTCTGCCCTTCATGCCTTCCTCCTTCCCTCTGAGATCTGTCAGTCTGTGCCATGCTTCCATGTCTCTTGTTCTATTTTGTTCATTAGATTCCACATATAAGTGAGATCATGTGATATTTGTCTTTCTCTGACTGGCTTATTGCACTTAGCATAATACTCTCCAGGTCCATCCATGCTGTGGCAAAGGTTAAGAGTACCCTCTTTTTTTTCTTTACAGCTGAATATTATTCCATTATGCAAATATATCACAGCTTTTTTATCCACTCATCTACTGATGGGCACTTGGGCTGTTTCCAGGTCCATTGCCCATTTTTTAATTGGATTGTTTGTCGTCCTCTAGTTGAATTGTATGAGTTTTTTATGTATTTTGGAGATTAACCCCTTATCAGATGTATCATTGGCCAACATGTTCTCCCATAAGGTGGGTTCCCTTTGCATTTGAAGATGGTTTCTTTTTCTATGCAGAAGCATTTTAGTTTGATGTAGTTCCATTTCTTTATTTTTCCCTTTGTTTTTCTTGCCCTAGGAAATGTATTGGCAAAAATTCTAGTACATAAGATATCTGAGATTTTATTGCCTATGTTTTCTTCTAGGAATTTTATGGTTTCACAACTTACATTTTTAAGTCTTTTATCCTTTTGAGTTTATTTGTGTGTGTGGTGTAAGTTGGTAGTCTAGTTGCATTTTTTTTGCATGTACCTGTCCAATTTTCCCAACACCACTTATTAAAGAGACTATCTTTACTCCATTGTATACTCTTCCCTCCTTTGTTAAATATTAATTGAGCATAATGGCTTGGGTCGCTTCTAGGCTCTCTGTTTTATTGAGCTACATGTCTGTTCTTGTGCCAGTACTAGGCTGTTTTGATTACAATGGCCT